TTAAATAAACTATGGAATCAATAATGTAAAGGCTGAATTACATGTAAATAAGAACTGATATTCTGGTCTAAGTTTGTTCGAATTTGCCCGATCGGAAAATCTCGAAGGGTGATTTTCCTAGCAAAGATCCCATATAGTAAACTCTCATAACAATTTTTTTTGTCGATCAATTTTTATGACTGGCAAAACATAGTAAATTCTAAACGCTAATAACTCGTGAACTAATAAAGGTATACTTATAAAATTATACTTATTCAAATAGTCCTGATATGGTCTTTAACGTAATAGAGCCATTTTGAATTTTTCAATAATAAAAATGCGATTTTTGTTACTGAATTCCGCTTTAATTCATATAAAAGGAGCGAAAATGGTTCTATTACACTAAAGAGCACATTAAAATGATCTGAACAAGTATAATTTTATAGGCATATCTTCATTAATTTATGAGATATTAAAGTTTAAAATTACTACTGTTAACATTATGTTTTAGCACCTTCCCGATGTTTACATATCTGATATTAGCAACCAATAGATTTGAAATGATCGACATAAATTCGGATATTTCCGGAAAAATCTTAATCAGTAAAATCTATTATATGATCTCTACTAAGTTTGTGTTTAATATGCTATTTCACACCCTAGGGTACCATGGTCCGCGCTGTACGGTATATATTTATATCCGGTTTTGTATTGATATTATTTCAAATAAAAGTGATATACGTACGCATGTGGCTTTAAAATTATAGAATAAGTTAAATTTTAATTGGTACGTATCATTTTATTATTAATAATAATAATAATTATATATTACAAAATTAAAAAAAAAACTTATTTAATTTACATTATACAATATATATATTTTGAATATACATAATAAATCCATTGTGGCAAATTTATAAATTAGGATGCCCTGTTATTATAATAAATTTTTTCTATGTTCAATAAGATGCGGGAAGATGGGTTAGATCTAGAGATAGGCAAAATGCAGCATTTTAAAAAATTTTATACAAATGCAGCATTCATGCAGCATGCAAGCATCCATGCAACATGCATTTATGCAAAAAAATTTATTTACTTTTTAATTTATTAATTTATTAATTTTAGAAGTTTTAAAATCAATAATTTTATTTTTATATATCAAATTATATAAAATAATAATAAATTTAAAATAATAAGCTATTTTATATGTTTAACATTAAAAAAGGATATTACAAGAATGAAGGATCACCAATTTCAGCAGGTTTGAATGCTTTACATTTATAACTTTTTGGCTCCTCCATTTCTATAACAATGTCTGACATCATCACCTATAAGCATTTCCTCTAATATAAATCTAAATTTTGTCTTAATAGCGATTATCGAGCACAAATATTCTATAAGGATCATCCATCTCAGAAGGTTTGGCCACATTTAGCTCAGTTCTATTGACATTTTCTATTTCGGTGATTTTTAATGATGAATTAATGCCTTATAATCACAATATTCTATTAGAATTATTCTTAGAATGAATAGAATATACAGCAATGATGAGCTTAATACAATAAACAAAAAACATCATTTTTAAATAAATCAATAAAGTATAATTTTAACATACTAGTTGAAAATATACCTTTAATCGCCTTTGAAATTAATTTTGTGCTAATCATTTTACTAGTGTACATTCCGTCAGGGTGCTTTGGTATCGGCAATAATTTAATAACTTTATCAGCATCCAAGAATTGCTTTTTAATTTTATTATCATCTGAACTAAGGTTTTCATACTGTATAAGCGCGAAATAACGCCCACCTGTGCATTATTTCGAATACGCCTATGTGCGTTATTTCGAAATAAGAGAAGATTTTCTAAATTCAATATAGTCGACCTTCAATAAATGCACATTGTTGGTAAAGGTGCATTTATAAAATATTCATTTCAGAGAATAATCTATATATAATATTAAATAATTACATTAGACCGATTAAATTATGTGAACTTATAGAGTATCGACTGTATATTACACAGTAAATTATATGCTATGTCAGAATGCGCGTTAATTCGGAACACCCATGAGCGCTAATTCGAGACTATATGTTATTTTTGAAGGTAACGCCCACGAGCGTTATTTCGCGCTTAATAACGAATCCCACTAACCCCAATGTTCTATATGCCATAATCTTGAACTATCAGAATTTGAATGTTTCAGAATTTCATACTAAGCAAATTCAAGATCTTTTTAATCAGATTTTTAGATGTATATAACAATTAAAATTTTAGCTTACTTAAAAATTGTTATACTATTATGCTTCATATAAGAATCGCAATAGAACCTATTAAAAAATAAGTTACCTTAGTAAACTATGAAACATTCGTTATACAGTAAGTACACCATTTATTGACATAATACTTGAAACTGTATTCCTCGTTATGTTAAATAATAAAAATTATTCAAAATGAGAACTAAGAAGGGATTACACTAGTTCAATATTTTTTCAATTTGTCACTTAACAAAGCTATTGTGCTTATGATAATACCCACACTTGATAAATAAAATTGTTGAGCCAATAGATCATTGATTAGTAGAACAATATGATTCACGAAATGTTTCTACACGAAGCTTGGAAAAAATGATTGTAGTAGCACCCTATAATATAAACGTATATCTCTTAAATTAAAATAATAATATAGAAAAACTTAGTACGAATTAAGGTTGCATAAAGAATAACAATCAATAAATCTAACAACTTATACCTTATTTTCATGATCTTTAACATGCTGAGGTACTGTAGGTGTATATGTATTAGCTTTGTATTTTGAGTTAATTCATATGTGTGCTTGCTACGTTTCACGAATTGGTAAACTTTGTAACAATAAATTTATATTAATAATTTAATTTAATAAATCATGTACATACGTATATACATACATATATACGTACAGTACAATAACAGATAAAATAGAGATTAACTTACTTCAAAAAATTAGATTCTCTTTCAGATTATTGATTAATAATACTCATTCAAGTTATCCATCCAGTAGAAAAAAACTTAAAATTAATTATAGCATGTTCTGATAAGCTTAATATTGAATAATTTTCTATTCATTAATATCTTTCGACTATGTAATTTAAAGGTCAGATACACTCTCATAGTATTAGTCCCAAATATAATAAAGCTAGCATTTATTGCATTGAAAGATTTCTACTTAGAATATTACAATGATTATATCTTCGGCTTGTATATTATTTTAACACCAATTATCATTCATACTATTCTATAAATTCTCTAACATATACGACAATAAAATCTATTTGATTCAAGAAATTGGATTGGCTTGAAGTATATTGTGGCGAAATCTATTAGTGTTATTTAAATATAAATTATTAATATGTATATTGATTTAAATATTGTAAGTTTTGATTATTTTAATTAAAATAAATTGAAATACCCGAAAATTTATAAGTATGTTGCCTGTAATTATAAACAATAGTAAATTATATATTTAAAAATAGTATGATTAATAATTCTGATATAAATTTAATAAATAAGTAAATTAAATATTAAATAATTACATTTATTATTCATCGCTCATATTTTTCTCATTACTTTCTTCATAATCTCTATTTCTCTCTTTTTTACTTTCTTCGTCACTTCTATTTTGTTCATTACTTTTATCTTCCTCATTGCTTTCTACTCTATTTTCTTCATCACTTCTATCTCCTCTTTGTTACTCTCCTCCTTATTACTATTTTTTTCTCTATTAGTTATTTCACCTTCGTCTTCACTTTCTGATTCTAGAACAATAAAATCACCATCTTCATCAGTACTAGTATAATTTTCATCATTAGAATCTGAAAATGTTTCTATATTATAACAATCTTCAATTTCATCTGTGCTATTAAAAGATTCATCAAGACTTTTAGCCGATTCTACTTCATAATTATTTAATTCTACTGAATTTAGGTATTCAAGAACTCTGGTTGTTTTTTGAAGATCTTTATGTAACTGAGTTAATTTGTAATTGCTATAAATGTATACAAGCTTTAAAACACGATCAGGTGTTAATCGACTTCGTTTCTGATGAATATAAGAAAAAGCAGACCAAATTCGTTCAGAGGCTGCAGAAGAACATGGAATACTAAGTATTCTAATAGCTAATTTAGTAAGTTGAGGTGCTACTAACTTAAAATTTCCGTTCCACCATGTAATTGGATCTACTTTGTTAATTGCATCCCATGCAAGTTTAACATTAAATATACCACTTCGTGTTCTATAAAATGTTATTTGCTCCCAAATAATTGCTGAATCTTTTAGATAATACTTTCTAATAAAATTTTCAATAACCGTTGTACTATTTCGAGCAAGACTTTTTCCACAATAATTAGGATCTAATAAATGTGCAAGTAACATAATCAGATGAAAAATTTTTTTCTATCTTTTTTCTAATATTTTGTAAATAGTATTTCCTATACTTGGAAAAAAATAAACTAATTTAAATAAATCATTAGTATTATTGTTATATCGATATATTTATTAAAAAAATTATTATTACGTATTATATAAAATATACCTTTTGAATTTAACTGTTTATGATACCATTCATAAAACATAGCCAATCATAGCGTGTCGGATTTGAATAATGAAATTCCCATTACAAGTTGCTTAAGAATTTTTAAAAGAGATTTTATATCTTGCCAAAAATTTTCATTTTCAATTATTTTACGAATTGTTTTAGGAATTTTTATATCCGATCTCTATGATAGTTCAACTTGGTTTTTAACTAAAGAACTTAAACAAGCCATAATTGATCCCCAACGTGTTATAACAAAAGTTTTAAGTGTTTTTTTGTGTGTACAAGTTCGATATCGTTTTAAGATTGCTGCTGGAATATTATGAGATTTAAAATATTTCACAATTTCTTTTGCTTCTTTTACAATTTTTGCTGTCCATGGAATTTTTATAATATCATTCACTAATAAATATAAATTATATGAAATATATCCTAAAAAAAAAAAGTTTAGAATATTCTTTTTCTAGAATTTGCCATGCTTTTTTCATCACAGCTGCATTGTCAATAATAATAGCTGATATTTTTTTAGTTCCAACTTAAATAATAATTTGTTTTAAATTATTTGCAATTGTTTTACTATCTTGGCATATTTCTCCTGTTTGATGTGCTGAAAAAAATACTGGTTTTGGTGTCAATAAGATATAATTATTCCAATGCTCTTGAGATAAGTTTGATCTATTAATATATAGTAAAATGTTAATATATATAGATATACTGTATATATATTTATAATACTATATAATATAAAATATTTAAAGGATGTTCTATAGAATAGGTGGGCAATATATAAAATAAACTCTGCTAATAATTAGTAATCATTAATAAATATTTAGCGGAGTTTGCAGAGTTTATCTATTCTATAGAACATCCTATTTAAAAAATATTTTACCAGCCATCTGAAATAAGACAAATATTTTTACTCTTGCTAATTAATAAATCTATTTCTTGTTTTGTCTCATCATAAACTTTATCCAAAAGTATAGTTGATAACCGTTTTCTATTAGGTAATTTAAAAGCAGGACAGGCTTTATGCCAAAGATTTTTAATTGGTTCTAACTCAGGTAATGATAAAACTAAACCACAATAAAATATTGATTTTGCAAAACTTAGTTCAAGAGATATTTGTTCACTTTTTGAAATACGATCACCAAAACTTTCTATATTTGTTGAGGTTTTTGTTGGTAAATTAACTGTTTTAGATTTAGTAAACTTTTTAGATTTTGTTTGTTGAAAGCATATTTTTTTTTGTTCTGGTGTCATGTTTGGACAACTTTTATTATGAGTACGAGCTTGTCTAATAGCATCATTAATTTAAGCATTGCATAATGTGCATAACTGTCTTTTTTGCTTAAAACCTAAAACATGTCCAAGTTTTTTAAAATAGGTCCAAGCAGGATCCATTTTAAAAAATGATAGAAGTTTATTTAACGTCAACAAGTAAAAATTTTTTAAAATAATTTAAATAGTATTAAACACATGAAATATTACTAATTTTGTCTAAATGTTACATTAAAAATTTACCTGTTTAATTTTAAATCCGTTAAACTACAGTAGTTTTAATAATAATAATAACTTATAAATTAAATTTATAATAAATAGTTTAATTTCATTATAACTCTTAATCTAGTTTTAAAATTGAATATAGTTTTTAAAATAATATATATATAAGTGCTGCCAAGAGAAAATCTGTTATTAGGCTTTTAATTATATTTTGTATCGAATAAAATTTATTTAATTTCTTAGGGAATTTATTTGGTACAAAATATAATTGAAAGTCTAATAACAGGTTTTCTCTTAATAGCACTCATATAGTATAAAAATATAAAATATATACTATAAATATATATATTAGTAAATGCCTATTTCTATCGTTAAGTATTATTTATTGTAGTTTGTCATATATATAAGCTAAAAGTCATGTGAAAAACATGATAGAAATAGTAAATTTCTATAGTGAAAATAGGCGCTTTCAAAATTTATTTATTATATTTTTTTATGGGCAAAATGCGGCATTTTAAAAAATTTCATGCAGCATGCAGCATTCATGCAAATGCATGCAGCCATGCAAGTGCCCATCTCTAGTTAGACCTGTTCATTTCAGGTTGATCGGTTTCAAAATTAAAATCGGAGAAATTTAACCTTTTTCAAAATAAGTGAGAGTTTAAAAGATCCTATTTTCTTTTTTAGCCTATAGGTGTAGCCGGTGATAAAATTGGCTTTTTTTGATAAACATTCATCGGTAAGCGATTATGTAAATAAGTACATACTTTAAAAAATAGAATTTGTACGTCGCTTCTTTTGAAATAAATACGTCACTTATTTTATCTGAAATCGGGCGTCGAATCATTAATTCTGAAATCCCCAAATTTATTTTAATTTTCTAATTTACAATTTAGCATAGTAAAAATGCTATTTAAAAAATCCCTCTTATTTTTGAAACGCGTCACTTATTAATTTATATAGTAACTACATAAATTTAAAATGCTTGGATTTGGTAGCTTAATTTCATAATTTCGCCATGTTATTCTTTAAAAATATTTTATTTTTTAAAGAAAATAGTTATGAAAATAAGTGGAGTACAATATGACCTATTTCTGGTTTGAAATTTTGAAATAAGAAAAAGAAATAGGAGTTATCCGGAGATAAAATGTGTATACTTTTTTTTTTTGATGCTATCGTAATAAATTAATAAAGAGCTACAAATTATCGCTTAAAATTTTTTTTAAAAATCTAAAGTAACATTAGTTTTAACATTAGTAATATTACTTATTTATTTTCGAATTAATAATATTTATGACGTATAGCAAAAATTAATTTTAATTGATATTTCGGCAGGCCTGTGCATTACCCAGCCACAATAATCTCTTTTATTTCAGTATGTACTGTACAGTACATTCGTAAATTTTCTTTCAACGAAAACTTCAACCATGTGTTTCGTCAACCGTCCTGTACTTTGAATGTTTTCTATTTTTCTTTCGTGAATTGAAGATATAACAGAAATAACATAATTTAAATTTTTAGTTCGTACATTATAAAAGGTACATTGTAAAGGGAGTTGACTGTACTTAATTGTAAGTAGAGCATATTACAGTAATTTCGGAAGTATGTAAGGTTAACAAAACTTATAAAATTTAGTTTTAAAAATGAATCGTCTTTAACTTTTAGGAACACTACTACCGTATCCTATCGTGAATAAGCACTACACCCTCTACCCCAATTTTTAAATGTCAGATTAGTGGAAATCGCAATGAAGTCTTTAGCCAAATTATTACCGCTAATCTGATATTTAAAAAAGTGGGGTAGAGGGTGTAGTG